TGTGTGTGTGTGTGTGTGTGTGTGTTGGTCCTGGGGTTTGAACTCAGGGCCTGGGTGCTGTACCTGAGCTTTTGTGCTCAAGGCTAGCACTCTGCCACTTGGACCACAGCTCCACTTCTGGCTTCTTCTTCTTCTTCTTCTTCTTCTTTTTTTTTAATGTTTCCCTTTGGTGGTTCATAGGGCATAAGAGTCTCACTGACTTTCCTGCCTGGCCTGGTTTTGAACCATGATCCTCAGATCTTAGCTTTCCAATTAGCTAGGATGACAGGTGTGATCTAACAACACCTGGTTTCAACTCTTATGTTTTGATCACAAGTTAGTCTGTGGCTTGGTGTATACATGTGCAGGGAGTGTGTGTGCAAAACATGCAGTGAGCCAGGCACTGTGGCTCACTCTGTGTCATCCTAGCTACTAAGGAGACTGAGATCTGAGGATCACAGTTTTAAGCTAGCCCAGGCAGGAAAATCCATGAGACTCTTATCTCCAATGAGCCACCAAAAGCTGGAAGTGGAGCTGTGGATCAAGTGGTACAACATCAGCCTTGAGAAAATAATAATAATAATAATCATCATCATCATAATCATCACCATCATCACCATCATCATCATCACCATCATCATCTAAGAGATAGTGCCTAGACCCTGAATTAAAGCCCCAGTAGTGGTGCGCGCACACGTGCGCGTGCACGCGCGTGCACACACACACACCACCAAAATCAGAACACTGCTTACAGGTGAATAGGTAGGTGTCTGACAGGATGAATGCAAGTGTGAGGCTTGAGCAGGGGTGTGTAGGCTGTCCGTGCAGGCAATGGTGTGTCTGTGATCCACCTGTGTTTGCCGTGTGGCTGTGGGTTTCTATACCCACAGGCTGTTTGAACATGCATGTATGTGTATGTGTAAGCCACCTCTCAGAGCATCGATGCTTTGGTAGTGGCCCTAGTGGCAGACAATACAGATGGCATGCCTTGGTGCCCCCTGCCCAGTCCTGGGGTGGGGGTAGAGGGCAGGGTGCACCAGAGAAGGTAGGCAGTGTGTGTGTGTGTGTGTGTGTGTGTGTGTGTGTGTGTGGTGGGGGGTTGGACTGACCTCCGCCTGCTCCCTGAACAACTCCGAGACCTCTCCCAGCTTCGTCTCCTCGGCAGGACTTGGGCCCCTGCTGAGCTGGACAAGGTTGGATCTCTCTTAGTTTCTTTGCCAGGAGTCCTGCTCTCTGTCGCCCCTCCAGGCTGGCTGTGGGAAGGGTCCCCTAAGCCCAGGTCCTGGAAATACTCGCTACCCCGCAGGGCCTCCAAATCCAGGCTGAGATCTTCTGAGCTCTGGCTGAGCCCTCCTGGGAAACTGTCCTCCTGCAGGTAGGTAAAAGATGTCATTAGCTGGGCATGGTAGCTCACACCTGTAATTCCAGCACTTTGGCTCTAGGCAGGAGGATCTCTTCTATATCTTTCCCCCAACCACAACCCCTTCTTCTTTTGTTCTTTGCTTCTTTCTCCTTCCCTCAGGCATTCTATTTTTCATTTTTCCCCCTAGCCAAGAATATCTGCCTTATTCCAAAAACTTCTCCAATCAAACCCATTCAGAGAAAGCTTGGAAAACTCCTGTGTATCCTTCAAAACCCATCCTGGACATGCCTTCCAGGCTGCCTTCCTGATTCTTTGAGGCTGGCCAGGTGCCCTCCTGGGGCACCTGTATGCCAGTCCTGGGGCTTGAACTCAGGCTTTGAGTGCTATCCCTGAGCTTTTTTTTCCCCCTGGTCCTAGGGCTTGAACTCAGGACCTGGGCACTGTCCCTGAGCCTCTTTGTGCTCAAGGCTAGTGTTCTACCACTTGAGATACATCGTTACTTCTGGTTTTTTTTCTGAGTAGTTTATTGGAGATAAGAGTCACATGGACTTTCTCACCTGGGCTGGCTTTGAGCCCCAATCCTCAGATCTCCACTTCCTGAGTTGCTAGGATGACAGGCGTGAGCCACCAGTGCCATAGTTCTATACTTGGGTTTGCATTCAGGGCCTTGAGCTTGCTAGGCAGGGGCTCCACTCCTTAAGCCACGCCCCTAGGGACTGAGCTCCACCCACTACCTGCTGAGCCACACCTCCAATTCTCTTTGCTTTTGTTACTTTTCTGATGGTGTCTTGAGTTTTTGTTCAGGCCCACCTAGACTTCTATTCTACCTCTGCTTCCTGGGATGACAGGTACCCTCCATTATACTTGGCTACTGCTTGAGACTGGGTCTCATTCACTTTTTGCTTGGGCAGACTTCAAACCATGATCCTTCCAATCTTCACCTCCCTAGTAGCTTGAATTACAGGGGTGCTCAGGGGACAGTTGAGCAATATGAAGCACCTGCCTAAGACCATCTAGAAGTCTGCACCCTCCACTTCCAGAACCTTCTATCTCCCACACTGAAGCTCCATCTTCACTCAGAAGGCACTCCCCTCTCCACAGCCCAACACCCCTGCTTTTTGCTGTTGTGATTCTTGTTGTTTAGAATATAAGCAACTGGGTATAGGTGGCTCACACCTGCAATCCTAGCTATTCAGGAGGCTGAGATCTGAGGATCGTGGTTCAAAGCAGAAAAGTCTGTGAGACTCTTATCTCCAATGAACCACCAGAAAACCAATAGTGGGGCTGTGACCAAAAATTAAAAGAATATACGCAATAAGATAGGTGTCAGTAGCTCACACCTACTATCTTACACAGGAGGCTGAGATCAGAGGGTCGTGGTTCAAAGCCAGTCCAGGCACTAAAATCCATAAGACCCCCGTCTCCAAAATAACTAGCAAAGCTAGACATTGGTGGCTCACGCCTGTAATTCTAGCTACTCAAGAGGCTGAGATCTGAGGTTTGGAGCTCCAAGCCAGCCCAGGCAGGAAAGTCTGTAAGATTCCTATCTGCAATTAGCTACCAAAAAGCTGGAAGTAGAGCTGTGGCTCAAGTGGTAAAGCACTAACCTTAAGCAAAATAAGCTCAGGAATATAGCCCAGGCCCTGAGTTCAGGCTCTAGAACTGGCACACACATGCAAGTGCATGTGTACACACACACACCAAACCAGCAAAAATTGGACTGGAAGTGTGGCTCAAGTGTTAGAGGTTCAGCTGAGCAAGCTTGAGACTCTGGATAGAAATCTCCATATTGCAAAGAGAACAAGAAGAAGGAAAACTAGGAGAGGAGGAGGAGGAGGAGGAGGAGGAGGAGGAATGGGGCACTGGTGTCTCACACCTGTAATCCTAGCTATTTAGGAGACTGAGATCTGAGGATTGCCATTTGAAGCCAACCTGAGCAGGAAAGTCCAGGAGACTCTTAAGCTCCAGTAAACTACTCAGAAAAAGTCAGAATTGGTGCTGTTGCTCAAGTGATAGAGCACTAGCCTTGAGCACAAAGAGGCTTAGGGACAGCACCCAGGCCCTGAGTTCAAGCCCTAGGACCCAGGAAAAAAAAAAGAACAAGAGTGTATAAATATCTGCTGTATTGCTGCCTGCAATCAATTTTTTTATTTGTATGTTTGAGAGCATCTTTCTGTGTACTTAAAAGCTGGCCTTGAACTTCTGATTCTGTGTCCTTTGTCTCCCGACTGCTGGGATTACAAGGGTGTATCACCAGGCCCAGCCCTGCTTGCCGTTCTTTTAGGAATATTTCTAGCAGTACAGTTGCTTTCTTATAGCATAATTCTATGTTCAATACTTGAGGGCTCCTCACCTTGTTTAGCACAGCCCACCCTCTCCTCACAACTCTCCCTTCGGGCAGCTCTTCTTGTTTCCTTCTGCCTTCCAAGGGCCTCCTCCTCTTCTTCCCTCTGTCCTTGAAATACCAACACTTCTTTTCTTCTGGACCCAGAGAGCTCTGGCTACTCTGTGATTTTTGGCAGCAACGCTTGTAGGTCTTCCCTGCCCTCCTCCCCCTTTTCCCCAAATGGTTCTATTCCAGCCTCTGAGGCCTGAACCAGCTCTTCCTGACACCCACCGCGTTCACCATTCAGCCCTTCAAGGTTTCCTCTGTGGCTCTGGTTTTCTTCCTCTTGTAAATATAAACACAGCCAGACAGCAGCAGCGTTCACTGGGCTCTGCTCCCTTCCCCTCTTGCATCTGGTCTGCCTCAGCCCCAGCAGAGCTAGGGGAAGAGGGAGGGGGCCGGGGAGGAGGAGGGGGAGGAGGAGGGGGAGGACAAGGCTGGGGTGTCATCGGCACAGGCTGTCCCAGCTCTCAGCCAGCAGCAGAGCAGGTACATAGAGGGAGGAGGGAGGGCGCCTTGTGCTTTGCTTTCTTGGACTCATTTCCTGATGGAGAAAAGATGGGAGCCAGCCCCCCTCCCCATGCCCCCTCGTTCCCGGCCTCTGATTAACCCCTGTCCTGATTTCTGCAAAGGACGACGTAAATTCAGCTCCATTCCCAGACTTGGAAACCAGAGTGGGCCCATCCCTCAAGGCAAACTCAGAAACAAACACCCCAGGACTCCTCAGCTCTCACAAGGCACCCAGAGATGCTGGGAATGTACCTAGAGCTGTGGACATACATGTTAGGCAAGCTCCCAACTGTTGAGCCATTAGCCCAGGATTTATTTTTTTCTCAGTGGTACTGGGATTTGAACTCAGGGCCTCATGTGTGCTAGGTAAGTGCTTTACCCTATAAGCTATGCCCCAGCCCTCCAGCCCAGAAGTCTTGAGACAGCATCTTGCTATCTAGCCTACATGGCTTTGGACTTAGGATCCTTCTACTTCTGTCTCCTGAGTCAAAAATACACTTGTATTTTGAATGCATGAGTAGTTATTCATCATCGATTTAAAAATATTCTAAACTTTCCTTCCTTCCTTCCTTCTTCTCCCCTTCCTTTCCATCCATGACTCCATCCATCACTTATCTACCCATCCATCCATCCACTATCCATCTACCTATCCATCTATCCATCAACCATCCATCCATCGTCCATCTATCCACCCACCTACCCATCCATCTATCCATCCATCCATCTGCCATCCACTTACCCATTCATCTGTCCACATACCCATCTATCCACCATCTATTCATATGTCTCCCCCCACCCACACTTCCATCCATCCACCCACCACTCATCAGCTATCCACCTATCCATATCTATCCATCCACCCATTCATCCATCCATCCATCCACCCACATATCCATCCATCCCCGCATATACCATCCATCCATTTATCCATCTACCCACCCATCTATACATCTACTCATCTAACCATCTACTCATGTATCCATCTATCCACTCACCTATCCATCCATTCATCCATCTGTTTATCCATATGTCCACCACCCACCCATCTATCTATCCATCCATCCACCATCAATCCACTGTCCATCTATCCATCATTCATTCATTCAACCATCAACTTATCTATCCACATATTCATCCATTCATCTACTCACCCATCCATCCCCTCATATACCCATCCATCCACTCATCTGTTTACCCATCCATCCATTCCCCAACTCTTCATTCATCTATCCATCCATCTACCATCCATCACTCCACCCATTGATCCATCCATCCACCTTCCCATCATCCATCCTCTATCCACCCCATCCCATAGTCTACCCATCCTTCTTAATTCCATTCCCTTATTCCAGAAAGAATCCAGTTTTGTCATCCATGAACACATTTTGGCGAGGGCTCCCTGAGCATGCATACATATACTTGGTGCTTGGTAAGCACGGGTTCTAAACCAGTATAGTTGCTCTGCCACAGTTGTCATCTAGCCCCAGCCTGCCTCAGCAGCCCATCACCTGCCTGCTCATCCTCCATGGTGGAGAAGGAATCTGGGTTCTCCGGCCTCCAGGGTTCCCGTCTGCTCTTGGGGGCAGCTCCAGAGTCAAAGGGCTGCTGGTTACATGACTTGGGCTCTGACCCTGTAGAGAGAGGAAAGACAAGAAGTCAGGGCTAAGCTGTCACAGGAAAGACGTGAGTTCTGTGCCTGCTTCTGCTTGCCCTGCACAAGAGGGTGATGTTGGCAAAGAACTTTCAATGATCTTGCAGCCAACATATGTGCCCCCCACAAAACACTTATCCTCAGCCCAGGGCAGACATTACTAATCAATCACCAAGCTTTGCTCTCACTGGGACATTTGCCTCTTAGAATTTCCCCCAAGCACATTGATTGGGTCCACCGGCCAACACTAGCCAATCCCAATTGGTTTGTCAAGTGAGACTGATTGGTTATACCTGCTTTGGCTAAAACAGTGCTCCAGGCCCATGCCCACATTTGCAGGACAGTCTGGAACGGGGGGGGGAAGACTTTAGCCTCTCTCTTCCTTTTCCCAAATCCACATCTCCTCTGACCTCTGAGTTCTTAAGGGCCCCAGAGTTTTGGGAACCTTTGGGGGAGCACACTACAAGGGAGAAAGCAAGGGCTGTGGAGGTCAAGCATCTTTCGGGACTGGCCAGTACAGATACACACACACACACACACATACACATACACACACAGACACATATTTGCAGCAAACATGTTTCTTCCCTTGGGAGGTGGATGGGGCATGTGACCACCTGTCAGGACTTTGGTGAGGGTGAAGGGGTCCATCCTGGTTTATTCTTGGTTATTTTTATTTTTTGTCAGTCGTGGGGCTTGAACTCAGGGCCTGGGCACTGTCCCTCAGCTCTCCAACTCAAGGCAAGCTCTCTACCACTTGAGCCATAGAACCACTTCTGGTTTTCTGGTAGTTCACAGGAGATAAGAATCTCATGCCCATGTTGGCTTTGAACCATGATCCTCAGGTCTCAGCCTCCTGAGTAGCTAAGATGAAAAGCGTGAGCCACGGGCGTCTGGCTGTTCTTGGTTATTTTTGACGAGCTTCTTTGCCTTCCAGGCCAATAGGGGTTTTGGCTTGATCCTGGGTGCTGAAATGAGTCCTTTTCTTAGTCCTGCCACTGTAGCTAGAGCGTGTCACCTCCCCACCCAGGCTATCTGAGCCTGCAAGGAGGCTCTTTGTCACTTGCCATAGGAAGATGAATCTCTGGGTCCAACCCTGGCACTGTCTCAGCTCTTTCTGTGGAACCACTGCCTGAGGCCTCTCTCTATTTTGCTCTAAAACCCTGAGCATGGAGCGCTTAACCCAGCCCCACACAAATCTGCCGGCGCCCACCTTCCACAGGTCTGTGTGCCTGTCCACAGACTGCATTTTATTGTCTTGATAGTGGAGTCCTCTCACCCCTCCTTACATTCATGCTACCCACAACACACAGTAGGCCCTATTGCAACGAAGGAGGATGAATGGATGGATAGGTGGGTGATGGGTGGGTGGGTGGATAGATGGATGGATTGACAGATGATGCTCAGAAAAATAGATGGGTAGACGGATGGATGGGTGAATGGATGGACAGAAGGTGGATGGTCGGATAAATGGATGGGGGGGTGGATAGATGTACAGAAGGGTAGATGGAAAGATGCACAGAAGGTGGTTAGGGGATGGATGAATGGGTGGATGGGTGAGTGAATGGGTGGGTGAGTGGATGGGTGGGTGGATGGTTGGATGGGTAGGTGAATGGATGGGTGGGTGGATGGTTGGATGGGTGGGTAGATGGGTGGATGAGTGGGTGCAGAACTTGGGGAAGGGAGAAGGAGGAGGGAAGGAGGGGGGAGGAGGAGGGAGACAAGGTGAACCACAGAATGCACTCATTAGTCATGCACAGACTGGGAAATGAATGAGAAGCTGAGGGCTCAATGGGGACTTGGGGAAGTGGGGGCTGGGGACAGGAGAGGACTCCTGAAGCAGGACCCTCACTCCAAATCTGCCCCCCCCAGCCCAGCCTACAGCCTCCCTAGGGATTCCTATTAGGTACCTGATAACTGATCTGAGGACAACAAAGAGCCATTTCTCCCTGTGTCCCAGGAGTGATTACAGGCCTTGGGTTATTAAGGGTGTCATTGGGGGTGGAGGGTGGGGGGCCTGAGCCAGACAAGGGGTTCAGCTCAGATAGCCCTTTCTCACTCCTCTGACTCTAAGGAGACATCACTGACCCTGGATTCAAATTCAAATCCTCTTCCTCTTCCCCCTCCTCCTGCTCCACCAGGCCTCACCTCCACAGCCTCAGCCATAAAAAGGGGGTGTAAGAACCATGGGCAGCCCTTCCAACAGCCTGTCTGGGTGGGGGGAAGTAGGGAGAAGACTCTAGACTTTCCTCAAGAGCCAAGACCCCAAACCTACTACCTTGATGATTGCCAAGTGATGACTTAAAATACCCTTTCCAGGCACTTGGGGTACCCCACTTTAGCAATTCTGTTCACTGGCCAGAACCTATCATAGAAGCAACCCCAGAACTAAACTGGCTTAACATCTTGAGAACCTCTTGCTGTGTAACCTGGAGGAATTCGCTCAGCCCAACTTGATGATTACATTCCTAATGAATTCCAGTTCCTAAGCCACTCTAGTTCTCTTAAAACCCTGGCTCCCATTTGTGGTACACAAGGAGAAGGATAATCTGTGTGTGTGTGTGTGTGTGCTGGTCTCAGGGTTTGAACTGAACTCAGAGCCTGGGTGCTGTTCCTGAGCTCTTTTGGTGAAGGCTGGTACTCTACCACTTTGAGCCACAGCTCTACTTCTGGCTTTTTGGTGACTTACTGGAGATAAGAATCTCCCAGCTGGGAGCCGGTGGCTCACGCCTGTCATTCTAGCTACTGAGGAGGCTGAGATCTGAGGATCACGGTTCAAAGCCAGCCTGGGCAGGAAAAGTCCATGAGACTCTTATCTCCAATAAACCACTCAGAAAACCAGAAGTGGTGCTGTGGCTCAAGTGGTAGAGCGCTTGCCTTGAGCTAAAAGACTGAGGTACAGCGCCCAGGCCGAGTTGAAGCCCCAGACTTTCTTTCCCAGGCTGGCTTCGAACCACGATCCTCAGATCTCAGCCTCCTGAATAGCTAGGATGACAGGTGTGAGCCACAGGTGCCTGGCTGCACATCCCCTCTCTCTTCCAGGATCCCAAAGTACCAGGGGACCTCCTCCAATCATAGGCTGTCCCTGGGAACCAGCCAAGAAGGTTTTTGTTTTTTTAAATCACTTCCTGGCAGAACCTTTAGAGAAGAGGGTTCCTCGACTTTCGTGACGTTCGGGGGGTATTCTGGGGGAATTTCAGGGTGATCAGGGAATGAATCCGGGGTCCTGTCAGGCCCAGAGGCCGTGTCCTAGCTGAGAAATGGCTCCTGGGGAGTGGGGGTGGTGGTGGAAGACTGTCTAGAGGTTCCAGCTGGAATTTGGGGGATCCCCAGTTCTCCCCCCACCTCCGCCTCCATCCCCTTACCTCGCTTGAAGGCCCAGCGTTTGGGCCACAGCTTGGACAGAGCCGGCCAAGAGTGGTGGAGTCCCCGCTCAGCCATGGGGGCGCCCTGGGAGCCTGACGCAGCCTCCCGGCCCAGGGGAGAAGCTGGAGCCCGGCTGGGGATTCCTGCCAGCCCCCCTCCCCCCCAGCAGCAAGGGGCGGGGCTGCCCCACTGAGCCACGGGAGCCACAGAACCACCAGCCCTCGCCAAGCCTGGGTTGGTGGTGGCCTCAGCCTGGGGACGGGGGGCGCTGGACAGCTGGGGTTCGCAGGGCTGCATGGGGGAGGACAAGGCTTCCATAACCGCCAGCCTTTGGGGACTGCCCACCGTGGGGGTGATTGTGTATGTGTGTGTGCGATCATCTCTGTGAGTTCTGTGAGTGTGTGTCTAAGTGTGAATTTGTCCAGGAGAGGGTATATTTGAGTATCCATGAGGATCTATTATTATTGTTGTTAATCTTGAACTTGTTGTTAATCATGTTGTTATTAATCTTGAACTTGAACTCAGGTTCTGAGCACTGTCCCTGAGATTGATTGATTGATGTTGTCAGTTGTGGGGCTTGAACTCTGGGCCTGGGCTCTGTCCCTGACCTCTTTTGCTCAAGGTGAGCACTCTACCGCTTGAGCCACAGTGCCACTTCTGGTTTTCTGGTGGTTCACTGGAGATAAGAGTCTCATGGACTTTCCTACCCGGGCTGGCTTTGAACTGAGATCCTCAGATCTCAGTCTCCTGAGTAGCTAGGATGACAGGCGTGAGCCACTAACACCTGGTCGGGGATGGCTTTGACCTCATGATCTTCCTGGCCTCAGCATGCCAAATGCTGGGATTACAGCAGTGTACTACCATGCCTGGTTTAGTGTAAAGAAAAAAGTGTTCCATGTATTTTTTTGGGGGAAGGGGGAATTATTGGTGATGGAACCCCAGGCCTTGTATATGTTAGGAAAATGCTCTGCCATGGAGCTACGCCCAGCCCAGGAGCAAACATAGAGTTTGTTTAGTTGTTTTTGCTGGGCTCGAACTCAGGGACTTGGACATAAGGCAAGTGCTGGGCTGAGCTCTCTATCCTGGCCGAGCAGCTGGAGGGTTTTAGTGTCTAATGCTCTGTGTGTATGTGTGTGTATGTGAAGTGTGCTGTGTGCATCCTGTGTGTTGTGTGGCATGTGTGGTTTGTGGCGTGTTGTATGTTTTGTCTTGTATGTTGCATGTGCCACTCACTGTGTTGTGCTGTGTCTGCTGTTTTGTGTGTGGTGTCGTGTGTAGCAGGTTACATGTTGCAGCATGTAGTGTGCTATTCGCCGTGCACGTGATGCCGTGTGTGCCATGTACCGTGTCATGTGTTGCAATGTGTCACATGTGTTGTGCAGGGTGGGGTTATGTTGGAGTCAGAGCTAGTGCTGCCTCCTGCTGCCCCCTAGAGGCGGGAGGCAACATAGCAGCATGTTTTTTGGGGTGCCCCCTGGGCTGGTAGGCTCCAGGAAATGGAACCCCCGACTCAGGAGGCACAGACCAGCTTCATGAAAACCACCATGGAGCTGGGCGCTGGTGGCTCACGCCTGTCATCCTAGCTACTCAGGAGGCTAAGATTTGAGGATCAAGGTTCAAAGCCAGCCTGGGCAGGAAAGTCTATGAGACTCTCATCTCCAATGAACCACCAGAAAACTGGAAGTGGTGCTGTGGCTCAAGTGGTAGTCTGCTTGCCTTGAACTGAAGAGCTGAGGGACAGTGCCCAGGCCCAGAGTTCAACTGACAAAAACAAAAAAACACCACGGGGCCCAAACCAGCCCCAATGCTAACACACACACACACACACACACACACACACACACACACACACACAACAATTCTTTTTGGGGTTGACCAAACAGAAGCCCAGAGAGGTTAATCCATATGCTCAGAGCCACACAGCAGCAAGGTAGCTTGGAAGTGAACCCACAATCTGTCCAACACAGTCACCCCATCATTAACAACAGGATGGAACCCCAGGGAGCCTGCTTAGCACTGCATCCCGAGTTGCGGGGGGCGGGGGTGAGAGGGGGGGAATGTGGTGATCATTCAGACATGACACACATAGAGATTTGCAATGAAAAAATTTTGCTTACTGTTGGGGTGTCTCAGGGGTTCAGCATTTCCTAGCGTGTTCAGGGCCTTAGTGTCTATCCCTACAGCCATCAAACAAACAAAAAACTCTTCGAAAAATTCTCATTCCTGTCAGGCCCTAAGTAGCTCATGCCTATAATCCAAACTACTTAGGAGGCTGAGATCTGAAGAACGCAGTTCAAAGCCAGCCTGGGCAGGAAAGTCCATGAAACTCTTATCCCCAGTTGATCACCAGAAAACCAGAAGTGATGCTGTGGCTGAAAGAGGTAGAGTGCTAGTCTTGAGCAGCAGAGCTCAGGGACAGCACCCAGAGTTCAAGTCTCACGACCGGCAAAAACAAAAGCTGGAAGTAGAGGTGTGGATCAAGTAGTAGAGCGCCAGGCTTGAGCACCAAAATCTCAGAGTTCAAGCCCCAGGACCAGCATACACACACACACACACACACACACACACACACACACACCACCTGCTCCCAGGAAAAGTGTGCCTCATGTGGGGAATATGCAATTGCATTTCAGTGGGTGCCACTCAGAATCAGCCCACAGCCCACAGCATTTGAAACTGGGGCCATCCCCTTCTGCCCCCAGGCCAGCTCCCCTCCTCCATCTTTCCTGGCCCCTGCCAGCAGTACTAAACACAGCCCCTCCTGTTTCTGGGGTAACGTCTTGCACTCCAGAGCTCCTGAAGCATGTCCCTTGGTGGGCGGGGAGCAGCAGCCCTGAGCCCTGAAAGGAAGCTGGTGCCTGGGCGTGCCCAGCGCAGACCACAAGCCCGCCTACCCCCACCCTGCACCCGGCCCTGGCTCCCCACGGAGAAGGCCCCCCACCCAGAAAGCCTCTGGGGGGGGCCACAAGCCCGCCTCCTCCCCAACTCAGATGACCTGCCCAATCAGCTTTCAGTGGAGGGCTGAATCCCAAACACCGTTGTTTAGAGTCAGTTGTAGGGAGGTCTGGCGGGAGGGGGGCAGACTGGCAGAATCTGTAGTTTATAAAGGCCAGGCCAGTGTGGTGTGAGGGACTCCTGCAATCCCAGTTCAGGGACAGGAGGCAGGGAGGAAACAGGAGACCCAGTCGGAAGCTCAACAAACTATAAAGCAAAAGGGGCTGGAGGCGTGGCTCAAGGGGCAGAGCACCTGCCTGGCAAGCGCTAGACTCTGGATCAAACTGCAGCAGCACCACAGATCAAATTGAACGTGAAGGACATGAGGTGTTTTGCTCTAGCGTACCCTAGATCCCACTTTATTTTTGGGGGGTGGATCTAACCTGGGACTTGAACTCAGAGCCTGGGTGCTGCTGTCCCTGAGCTTTTTCCACTCAAGGCTGGGTGCTCTACCACTTGAACCACAGCTCCACTTCTGGCTATGTTTTTGCTGGTTCATTGAAGATAACGAGTCTCACAGACTTTCCTGCCTCAGGCTGGCTTTGAACTGAAGTCCTCAGATCTCAGCCTCTTGAGTAGCTGGGATTACAGGCGTGAGCCGTAGGCCCCAGCATTGTCTTATCACTACAGATCTCTCCAGAACAAATATGGAGATGGGGGACACAGGCAGTCCACCACCCTCCTGGCAAACAGTCGGAGTGGACAGTGGACGACACCTGCCTTCTGCAGCCCCCCCTATTCCCCCAAGGTTCCCTCTGTCCCCCTCCACACAGGGTTACTCACCAGATAGCCTGGTTGTGTGTGAGATGGGCCCCCAGCTTGGCCCCCAGCTTCTGCCGGACCCCCGTGACCAAGGCCAAAGTTTCAAGCCAGCCCAAGCCGGGAGCGCTCAAGGTTACCCAACTGTACCCCAACTTCCTCTTCCTCAACCGCCTGCCTCCTCAGTCCCCAGCTGCAGGGAGACCAAGGTTTTTTTCTGGGAATCCAGGCAGATGGGGGGGTCTGAAAACGTGGGGTGCTCTGTCCCCTGCCGCAGCCCTCAGCTCTGACCTTACAGGTGTTCTGGGGACATTGGGTGGGGCGTTCAGGGGGGACACGCCCAGCTCTTTCGCCCCCACCCCATAGTTTCCTGTGTATCTAACTGCCGAGGAGGAACGGGGTGCGGGGGCCTCCCCCTAGCACATGGGGTGCGTAGATGGAGACATAGGGACACACAAACACATCACGTGTTTCCGGAGAGATAGGGGGGACCCACACCCAGGAGGCCTGCACTGTGCTGCAGCCTGGCTCACAAACACTTCTCTGGTGTGTCAGTGTCTGCTGCAATCTCCTGGTGTTAAATTCTCCCCCAGGATGGCCGATGGATGTCACTGGGTTCGGACTGTGGGAAGGGAGTGCGGGGGACAGGGAGGCGCAGGGCTGGCTTGAAGTGTGAACCTCCTGAGTAGCTGGGATTACAGGCGTGAGCTACCATGCCCTGGCTCATCCAACCTTTTTTATTTTTTTTAAGAGATGGCACTGCCCATGATCAAGGATGTGATCACTAGAGGGCAGTGTGTTCCCATGGTTTCTCCCTCAGAGGCCTAAGAGGAAAAGCCAGAACCAGAAATCCCCAGATCTGCCAAAGGTAACATGGAATAATGGACAAATTCTGATCTTAGAAGGAATTCGATACCTGTAATCCTAGCTATTTAGGAGACTGAGGTCTGAGGATCATGGTTCAAAGCCAGCCCCTGGCTGTGAGAATCTTATCTCCAATTAATTACAAAATTTTTTTTTAAAATGTAAAAAAGGAAGAAATGCACACAGCTTGTGTTACAACTCAGAATTTGAAACATACTCCTGAAATGGGAAAGCCAAATGTGGTGGCACATGCCTGTAATCCCAGCACTCAGAGATGGGAAGATGAGGGGTTGGGAAGGTGGCTCAATGGTAGAGTGCTTGCCTTGCGTGCATGAGGCCCTGGGTTCGATTCCTCAGCACCACTTAAGCAGAAAAAAGCTAGAAGTGGCTCAAATGATAGAGCGCTAGCCTTGAGCTGAAGAGCTGAGTCACAGCACCCAGGCCCTGACTTCAAACCCCACAACTGACAAAAATAGAAAATAAAATAAAAAGCATGTACATAAACCTACTTCAGAAAACATTTTCTTGATCTCAAGGCCTGGGCACTGCCCCTGATTATATATATATATATCTTTTTTTTTCTTTCTCAAGGCTAGTACTCTACGATTTGAGCCACAGCTCCAGTCCAGCTTTTGGCTCCTTGGAGATAAGAATCTCATGGATTGTTTTTTTCCTTGCTGGGGCTGTCCTTGAACCTTGATCCTCAGATCTCAGCCTGGGGAGTAGCCAGGGCTCCCCAGGTGTGTGCCACTGGGATTCGGTTTGGCTTGGGGTTTTCAAACCTGAACCCCATGAGCAATGGGAAGCCCTGGGAGTTGGTTTTTGGAGGGGGGGACAGGTGTTAGTGACAACACTGGCTTCTTACCGGCAAGTTCCTGGGGTGGGGGCTGAGTGTGAGAGAACGGATGGAGAGGTACAGGGTGGCTGGGGAGATGGTGCCCTGTTATTCTGCGGGGTCACAGCGGTGTCTTGGGCCCCAGAGGGAGGAAATGAGTGGTTTCCAGGAGGCTGGAGGATCTGCGCTTGGTGTGGGTTTGGTGGAAGGCAGTTTGGCTGGTCCCTGACTCCCCTGGGTGGCCATTTTGGGGGTCACCCACTTGGACCTCTGGGGGCGGGCTCAGTTTCTGCCAGTCCCTGGGTGGAGGCCCCCTCCTCCCCTCAGCCCTTGCTGCTTTCTGTGTCTGGAATGTTCTAGCTCCTTCTAACTCCTGGAAGGGAGTGCGACTGGGAGCAAGGCTGACCATCGGGCAGCTGCACAAGGTGGCTGGCCTGGGCTGACGCTCTTCCTCTTTCTCTGGGGGGCTCTGTGCCAGGGTATCCAGGAACCCCAGAGGAAGGGCAGGGTGTCCAGCCCAGGCACAGGGTCACAACGCCAGAGCTGTGGGGGCCCAGAAGCCGGCCAGCTGCCTGCAGCTTGGTTCCTGAGACCCAGGGGGGACACAGTCGGCTGCTTCTTCTCCCTTCTTTCTAAAATTCTTATCTTTCTGTGCTGGTGCTGGCGTTTGAGCTCAGGACCTGGACATTCGTCCCTGAGCTTTTGCGCTCAAGGCTGGGGCTCTACCACTTGAGCCATACCTCCACTTCCAGCTTTTTGCTGGTTCATTGGAGATAGAGTCTCATATGTCTCATACTGGTCATCCTAGCTACTTGGGAGGCTCTGAGGATCCCAGTTTGAAGTCAGCCTGGGCAGAAAAGTCCCTGTGAGACTCCTTTCTCCAAGGAACTATTCAGAAAAAGTTGGAAGTGATGTAGTGGTTCAAGTGGTAGAGCACTGGCCTTAAGCACAAAAAAAGGCTTAGGGACAGTGCTCAGGTTCAAGCCCCACAACTGACTTAAAAAAAAAAAGTGGAAGTGGCGCTGTGGCTCAAGTGGTAGAGCGCTTGCCTTGAGCTGAAGAGCTGAGGGACAGCGCCCAGGCCCAGAGTTCAAGCCCCACGACCGGCCAAAAAAAAAAAAAAAGTCTCCCAGACTTTCCTGTCCTGACTGGCTTCAAACTTCAATCCTCAGATCTTGGCCTCCTTTGTAGCTAGCTTGACAGGCGTGAGGCACCAGCCTCTGGCCTCTTCTCCCATTCTGTCAGCTGTTAGTAACTATTAACTTAGTAACTATGTCCTGTCCTCTTTTTTAGAGGAGACCCAAGCCCTGAGGTGAAGAGCACTGCTGCCCTCTTGTGGTGGCTTCCGGGAGGACGGATGTGGTGGTTCAGAGCCCCAGGGGGTGGGTGTCCCAGGCAGGTCGTGATGGGTGGGGGTGGGGGTGCAATCTGAGGATCGCTACAGACTCAGAAAGTGAGAACTTTAGGGTGACTTCTGAGGACATGGACTAGCTGAGGGAGACACCACACCCCACACGGGGAGTCACTGACTCTCTGAGCTGGCAAGGGTGGCTCATGCCTGGAATCCTAGCTACTCAGGGGGATGAGATCTGAGGATCGAGGTTCAAAGCCAGCCCCGGCAGGAAAGTCCATGAGGCGCTGAATCTCTAATGAACCAGCCCCCAAAAACCAAAAGTGGAGCAGTGGTTCAAGTGGTAGAGCACCAGCCTTGAGCAAAAAACAAACAAACAAACAAAAACCAGCTCAGGGACGGTGCTCAGGTCCTGAGTTCAAGCCCCAAGACAGACAGACAGACAGACAGACAGACACACACACACACACACACACACACACACACACACACACACACAGAGCAAACACCTAAAAAATAAGCATCAAGTTTCCTCCCATTCTGTCCTTACTTTGGGACAAATATTGTTGGGGACAGAATGGAGGGAGGGGCAAGTGGGGGTGGCTAATGTGCACAGGTGTCAGTTTGGGAAAGCCTACCATGAAGGATTCAAGGTTCCGGAGATGGCCAGGTCGAGGGTGGGGGTGGGGGTGTCATGGTCAGAGTTAGAGAAGGAGGCGGGAGGAGGCAGCAGGGTGAGGTGGGAAGGTGGTATTGGCTGCTCTAGGGTGGAGCCACAAGCCAAGGAGCAATGGTACCATGTGGACAGCTCTCCATGGGAACCAGCACAGGTACATGGAGGTGCAGGGAGACGTGTATGCACAGGCAGATATCCACGGGCACCATGTGTCTACATGCAGCTAGAGAGATACAGCATGCCTATGGGCCTGTGTGCAAATAGAGACACACTCCTAGACAGATGTGTGGATATACAGATGTAGATGTGTGCACAGCTATGTCTCTGTATATCTACAACGATCATAACACCTGTATGTCTGTCCATCTGCCTCCCTGAACCTTTGTATCCATCCATCTACCTATCCATCCACCATCTATTCATTCACCATCCATCTGCCCATCCATCATTCTACCATCCATTCACCCATCTACTCATCCACCATCAATCCATCTATCCATCTTCCCATCCATTCATCCATTCATCTACCATACATCACCCATCCATTCATCCATCCATTCATGCAGCATCAATCCATCCATTCATCTACCATCCATCCATCTACCCATCTACCCATCCCTCCATCCATTCATCTACTGTACCTTTACCCATCCATCCAGCTATCCATCCATCCATCATCTACTCATTCACCACTATACATCTACCCATCTGTTCCTCTACCTATCCATCCATACATTCATACACCCATCCATCCATTCACATACCATACATCAACCCATTCATACATTCATCCACCTGTCCTTCCATTCATTCACCATCCATGCATCCAATTATTCATCAATCCATCCATCCACCTATCAACCCAACCATCCATCCATCCACCAGTTTAATCTAGGATTCTTTTTTTTGGGGGGTCAGTTGTGGGGCTTGAACTCTGGGCTTGGGTGCTATCCCTCAGCTCTTCAGCTCAAGGTGAGTGCTCTACCGTTTGAGCCACAGCGCCACTTCTGGTTTTCTAGTGGTTTATTGGAGATAAGAGTCTCACAGACTTTTCTACCCGGGCTGGCTTTGAACTGATCCTCAGATCTCAGTCTCCTGAGTAGCTAGGATCACAGGTGTGAGCCACATTCTTTTTTTTTTCTACCTTTTTGGTGATATTCTAGTTTGAACTCAGGGCTTCATGCTTGCTAGGCAGCTAGCTGCTCTCCTTTTGAGCCAGGCTCCCAGACCTTTTTTACTTTAGTGATTTTATTGTGTAGAATTTTGTGCTTTGTGCCTGGGGCTGGCATTGGGCCCCAATCCAACGACCTATGCCTTCTAAATAGCTGGGATTACATATGTATACCACCCCAACTGGCGTGCTTCTTGTGATGGGTTCTTAGTAACTTTTTGCCTGGGCTGACCTTGGACCTCAGTCCTCCTTTTCTCCACCTCTGAAGTAGGTGTGCCTAAGCTATGGTTCTTTTTTATTTTTATTTTTGGCCAGTCCTGGGGCTTGAACTCAGAGCCTGGACACTGTCCCTGACTTCTTTTGTTCAAGGCTAGCAC